CCCCAAAACCCCAAAACCCCAAAACCCCAAAACCCCATAAAATTATGCTAAATTAAAAATTTATATGGAAGGGAAATCAGCCTAGGCCCTCTTGTTGAGCAATAGCTTCTATCAAGATCTACATTTTGGTTTCCATTGTTTCTACCGAAGAAATTGAAATCTTTAGACACAATCCAAATACCAGTGTAAAATTATTGAACCAAAAAGTGTAGAATGAGGAAGGTATATTTGGGGATTTATACGACATTTAGAAGGTAACAAGGGGGTTTAGAGAGGAGAGAGTAGAGTTAGCATGCTCTCTGGGGATTTAGGGCTTTGTGGCTTTTATAGATTGGGATTTTGAGAAGTTTTAGGGAAGTTTTGATAAGGACTCGTTGGTTGATTTTGCTTACTTTGGAAGGAGTTTTGGATGCAATTTAGTGTTTTTTAATAGAAGAAGAGTAATTAAATGTAGAATAAGGTTATAAAATTTCTCTAAAAACAATCCATTTATATCTGCCAAAAATCCTATCTTTTCATTCTCTCCATCACCCTACATAACTCTCTTGGCCTTCAAACATGCCAAACCTCTCCTTCCAACTCAAAATCCTCCAAAACCTTCTATCCCCTAATTTCTATTCAAAATCCTTTCTCCTCTAATACCACCTCTCATCACTAAAAACCAAATTTTAAATCTCTACTTGCTAAGTAAATCATACCTATTGGAATTCATGAGATCTCTGACCTAGATAACTCTAACATATAACGAAGTCTGAATCGAAACTTAAAAAAGTTAATTATGAATTTTTGTTCATGTCAAATCATATGAAGTACTGATATTATAAACGATAGGATATCCTGGAGTTATAGGAACTCTCATAGCCATAGAGTTTCAACTTCCCAGTAATATGATTCTGTTGTTCCATAATTCTTTGATATAAATAAACAAGTAGAAGCTCTACCTAATCTCGGTTGATAATGTATTTTATACATAACTAACCATGATTCTTAATTCTAAAGATTTTGAAAAATCGTTAAAACTTATTTTAGAAAAATAACCAGACGAAGCTAGACTTTAAGAGGAGACCTTCAACAGGGTTTGTCAGTCCAGGCATTTCCCGAAATGGTGAGTGAAACAATGACAAAGTGTCCATATTTGCTGCATTTTAGGTAGATTTTTCTCAGACATTTGTCTTTGCCTAAATTTCAATATTTTCGTATATTTTATTTTACAAGTTGTCAAATTCAGGGATTTTCACAGCCTTACTCAGCTGTATAGATGCCAATGGTCTTGTTAATGCCCTCTCAGATCTAAAGATGTCGAACATCAAGATTCCAAGTAAGAGAATCATCAATAGAAGAGTAAGTGATTCATGAGCATTAAATTTATGTGATAACTAAATTTTCAAATTTTGCTTTCTTAAAACACATTTTGTAAACATTTAGTGTAGAACATCAATAGATTAAGGAAGAACTTGACTAAAAGGAATATCTTTGATAAGATCTTGGAGCAGCCATCCTCTCTAACTGCACTAAAACCAAAGAGAGGACTCTTCTCAGTGAGAAGGGGAAACACCAAACGTGGGACAAATAGTTTCAAGGGTACGCTATCTAATCCACGCAAGAAAGTTCTTTCTGAGGTATTTCATCCTACTAACATTTTTAGACAAGAATTTTTATGATTACAAATTGCCTGAAACTAGTGAGCTTCACTGAGTCCCCTCTGTAGACAGATATTCGGAAGAGAGACCAGCCATATTCGACGATGGGGACTCCAGAACAGATCTATCCAAAGTCTTGGATGAATACTATGCTTCTGAGAGAGAAGATTTCTTCAAAACAGATGATAAAAATCAAGATTCTTCTGAAGCAAATCCTTTTGCTATGTTTAATGATGATCTTAAACGTAAGAAAAGAAGAAGGAAATATTCAGATTATTTTAACAACTTATGTCCTCAAACTGAAAATAAGCCGTAATTCCATAAGTTTATCACTCTAGGGACGGAGGGCAGCCCCAAAGGCACATCCAAGGTAGTATAAACCTTTCCCGATCTGAAGAGCCCTAAAGTTTTTCTAGGCTCCCCCTAAACTCAAATCTTAATTTTACGGTTATTTCACTAAAGCTTGTTAAAATTTGTATTTCTCGTTTAAAAATTAGGTGACAAGTCTCATTCCCTCGCCTAAGATGTAGTCTTGGGGCGAAATCCAGCGCTGAACTTCAAAGAGCTCTTCTAAGCCTCCATCATTCAACTCAGGGGAATCTTAGAGGGGTTTTGGGGTTTTGGGGTTTTGGGG